TACATACATACATACATACATACATACATACATACATACATACATACATGAATATTTACTGTAGCAAAGCTTTGATTCCGTGTTATTTTAAAACATTGTGATACTTGATGGTTCTCTCCAAATGCAGACAATGACTTGGCTCACCCAAAATTTACTCCTGTTTCCCATTCAAGTATATTTATTGTGAGGCTGAAAGACATATGGTTGAGGATGGGAATCTTTGATGTTGCAAGAAGTGTTTTCTGGGTCAAAATATATATGGGAACCTCTGAATGTAAGAAGGAGAAGTGGAGAGGATTTCTGCTTTATGTAAACACATGCACACAATTTGTTCATTCTGGTTGTAATTCATGAATATGTGGGCTCTTTATCTGCCTTTTCCATTTTAGCTTTTTAAAAAGACAGGATGTTGAATAGGAAAAATGATTTTGAGGGGAAAAAAATAGACCATGTGCTTGTCTACTACACAACAATTTACCTTTTATAAATTCCAAGGTGTGGCTTTCTAGGCAATTGTTAATGCCATTGTATAATTCAAGGAACATATTAAACAAAAGTCTGAAAGACTGTTAAAAATAACTAAAATATTATGTTAAAAAAGCAGTAAAGAAAAATTAGAAGAATACAGATATCTGGGTTTTAGTCAAACAATTGTTCAAACAATTTCTGAATAAACTTTTCCATAGACTGTGAAACAATACAGTTGGATTCCAATACAGTGGATATTCTTGTTAAAAGTTTTGTTGTAGAACAATTTTTATGGGTTGGCACCACTAAAAATATTTAATTGAGATACATACAGAGAGAGAAAATCAAATGTACTTGTTGATATACATTGATGTTTGTATCTGCAAAGTAAAATAATTACATCTCAAAAAGTGGACTTTAGGGTTTTAAAAATATATGCTACAACTGAAGTAGAGCACACAAAATAACTGAATCTTAGTAAATAAAGATTGCTGTGCACCCATCTACTTTTTTGCTTGTTTCTGTAAGAATATGTTCATGGAGAAAATTAACACAGACCTTGACTATGAATCAGAGAACCAAATTTCCTCTCAAATCAGTAAAGATATGTGATAAATGTTTCATCTCTTTACAGGTGGGAAGGAAAGGATAAGAATGAAGTGGGCCGATGCAAAGAAACAGGCAAGATTCATGTGACAGTTAATCATAAATACTACAGGCCAACGGAAGTAGTAAGTGAAAGCATTCTTTCAGTTTTGTTAATGAATGGTCCAATCACTCAGTCACCAAACTGCAGCATTTGGACAGCTGGTTACGAGAGGTTTGTAATTGCTTCCCTGCTGCTAACTTTCAGTCTTTTCTCAATAGTTACTTGGCCACTTCAGTTGTCTTTAATAAACAAGTGATGAGAGTGATTATTTGATGTTCTGCTTAGCCTAATTTTGATATAATTACAAATGATGCTATGGACAAATAATGCTTTCCAAACTGCTTGATAAAGAGACAATAACAGAGGCAATATATATAACGCATTTATCATTTCCACTTTCACTTGTTCTATTGGTAAAGAAATTAAGATCCAGCCTGGGAATATAGATGCGGAACATATATTAATCATATCAAAAGATTAAAAACAATATTTAAAAAACAGGCAAATAGTCTTGGAATAGAAGATCTCATACATTTATATTGACAAGAGTTTTGATTTAGCCGCTTTATGTAGAAAGTTAATAATGTGGAGGAAGTCCTGGACTTACAATTGGGACCAAAATTTTCCTTGCTAAGCAAGGCAGTTAAACAAGTCATGCCCATTTATACAACCTTTTTTGTAATGGTTGTTAAGCAAATCATACAGTCATTAAATGAATCCAGCTTCCCCCACTGACTTTGCTTGTTGCCAGCTGGGAAGGTTGCAAATGATCACATTACCTCAGGATGCCACAACCATCATAAATACACATCAGTTGCCAAGTAGTCTAACCTTAATCATGTGATGGTGGGGATGTTGCTACAGTCATAAGTGTGAGGACAACTTGTAAGTCACTTTTTCAATGCTGTTGTAACTTTGTATGAACTACTAAACAAATGGTTGTAAAATAAGGATCACCTGTATTGCAGACAATTCATAATCTGAGAGAATGGTTATATCAGGGACTCATAAATGTTTGAAAGAATTTGGTAGACTGCTTTTCTTCTGTACTGTTCCTATGAGCATTAGAGTAAGGTTTTAAAGTAAGTTACATATTCTCAAAACCTAATGTATGAATGATTCTTAAACAGCAAGGATTTTTAATGAAGTGAAATAATTTCTAGACAGGTTTATAGTTTCAATTTTTTTATTGTTTTGACAACTCGGGGCTTTTCTGTAGAAATAAATCGATGTGAGGATTTTAACAAAAAAAATGGTTTAATGTTACCTGAGCAATACATTATCAGAAAACACTGTTGGTAAAGTGATTAATTATGTTTCCCTGATGTCAAGAATTGCTTTTCACCTGTCCTTTTATTAATGATATGAATTGGGCAGTATTTTATATAATTAGGTATTCCTGCCATTGTCTTGGAGCAAACTTTTGAGGAAGTTTATGAGTTCCAGTGAATACCTTGTTAATAAGTTTTCATACTATTTGGCCTGACAATGTTGCTATTATCCAGTGAGGCATATCTAAGGCTTTTGGCAAGTTGCATGACAGTATCTCTAATTAGTCTAAAGTATCCCCGTTTGTTATAATTCTTATACATTAGGGATTTTCTATTAAACCTAATAAAGAACTCAGCACCTATGAAGTAACTGTAATTTTATTTACTCAGTATTTAGTTGGAATCATTTTGCTAATGTGTAGGTGGTATTTTAGGAAAGGGTTTATAGATATTGGTTTCTCTTTGTGTCCTTATTTTTAGTGAATGGCTTTTTGACTCATTCTGCTTCTCCAGCAAACTGACCAAAGTTTGGGCATATATAGATTTATAAAGTATCTTTTTGTTTAAAATCATGGGCCAGAATTATTTTTAAAATGTGCAGTTCTTAAAGCGAAAAATATTTATCTTTAGACAAGTATTTGGGATTTCTTGATTTTTACTTCAGTTCCCTCTTTACCATGAATTGCATTTTTTGTTCCACACACCTAATGAAAATCCTTCCTTCTAGTTATGTATGTTCTTGTTATCCATGTCATCTGGACCTTTCATGCTGAGATCATGTTCAGCAGTCTCACAAAATGGCTAATTTGATGAACATAATCAGTCACACAATTCCGATCTCGTTTAAAAAAAAAAAAACTAAGATGATTTCTACTAGTGGTATCTACAGGCCTGGTAATGCCCACAAGCATATTGTTTACTTCAGTAGTAGGTAGTATAGAGCAGCATAGAAATAACTGGGGGGGGAAATGAAGTGGCAATTAGTGAAACATGTAATTAGCTTAGGAAAACAAGAAAGCCTGAGGAAGAAACTGCACTGGCTCCCTTTGGTATAAGAGAAAAAGATGGGAAAATGCTGTCAGATGTCTGTTATCCAATATATAAGTAAAGAAGAGTTCTAGTATGTCTTCTGGTGTCTGATTCCTGACTTGTCTTACCTCAAGCATTCCATTTAGTTAATCTGGTTATCAGTTAGGAGTTTCTTATACTATTGTAGGAGTTTCTTATACTACTTTGTTTAAGGGACAAAACACAGTTCTTAATCCAATTCCTTATTGTATTTTCCATGACTGTAATAAAGATGCTCTATTTTATTTGTTTGTGTATGGGATTATTTTCATTGTGCTACATCTATAACTATAGTGTAAATAAATAATAATAGAATAAAAATAACTAAGAAACTTTTTCAAACACATTTCTTTATTTTTGTTATTTATTTGCTAGATCTTGCCGTTTTCTCCCAGGAATTTAAGGTGACATACATGATACTATCTTTTTCTGTTATCTTTCACAACAATGATCCTGTGAATTAGGTGAGGCTGTGACGATGTGAGATTCTGTGACTGAGAGTAGACTTGAACCTGGAACTCCCCAGTTCTAGTTCAATACTTTATCATATCATATTGTATCAGAATAGAGCTGGATGGGATCTTGGAGGTCTTCTAGTCCAGCCCACAGCTCCAGTGGGAGATCCCATACCATTCAGACAAGTCACTGTCCAATCTGTTCTTAAAAACCTCCAGTAAGGAAGCACCCACAACTTCTGAAGGCAAGTTGTTCCACTGGTTAATTGTTCTCACTGTTAGGAAGTTTCTCCTTAATTCCAGGTTGCTTCTTTCCTGGATTAGTTTCCATCCATTGTTTCTTGTCCTGCCATTTGGTGCTTTAGAAGGTAATTCGATCCCTTCTTCTTTGTGACAGCCTCTCAAATACTGGAATACTACGATGATGTCCCCTCTAGTCCTACTTTCCTCTATTCTAGCCAAACTCAAATCCCGAAACCATTCTTCATATGTTTTTAGTCTCCAGGCTTTTAATCGTCTTAGTTGCTCTTCTTTGTACTTTTTCCAAAGTGTCAGTATCTTTGTTGTAAATGTGGTGACTGATTGCAGTATTCCAGGTATGATCTTACTAAGGCTTTATAAAGTGGTACTAATACTTCACATGATTTTGATTCTGTGCCTCTGTTTATACAACCAAGGATTATATTAGCTTTTTTGGCTGCTGCCACACACTCTAACTCATGTTTAAGTGACCATCCACTAGGACTCCAAGGCCTCTTACAGTTACTGTTTTTGAGCCAGGTTTTGCCTAACCTGTACTTGTACCTTTGGTTTTTCCTGCCCAGGTGTAAAACCTTTATTTTCTCCACATTAAATTTCATTTTGTTTGATAGGGCCCATTGTTCATTATTTAAATTTTTTTGCCCCATCCCTTTTGTCATAACTTCCTACTCCCTCACCTGAAAAAAATCTCTATCTCTTCTTGGAAGGGGAGGAGGATAGTGAGACAGATTGCTCAGTCTCTGCAATTAAGAGCTTTATTGGAATTTATGAAAAAGAATAACACAACAGCCTTTAGTGAGGCATCACAGCAAATACATCTGGATGCAGGTCTGCCAAGCCATCGTAATGTTGCAGTGATCCAATCCAGGCTTGTACTAACTTAAGGTGTTTGTGGAAGAGGTTGCATTTCTGTAGAATTGGATTGCTGGAGACTACCTCGCTGGCCATTCAAAGATGCTATCCTAGACTGCAGCCTCTTGATTCTAATTTGGATTCTGGCTGTCATAGGATCCTGCAAATCTACACTGAACATCTCTCCATAAGTATATTTGCAGGTCGTGAGGGAGAAAGTTGCAGATCTTCATACATTTTCTGATAACCAGCATATTGCATAACACTGCCAAGAGAACACAAGTTCCCAGTAGCACTTAGGATATATAGGTGTTGCAAATCATATATTCATTATTTATTAATATAACTGTTACATTGATATCCTACTGCAATCATGGGTGGGCATATTCCTAGGCTTTTTATGTGTCAAAATCCCTTGGTGAACCTGTGGGAATAATTACTAGACTGAAGGTGGGTTTCCATGGTTACTGCTGCTTGGGGATTTTGACCTCAATGCTCTGGGAGTGGATTTAGAGAAGAGTCAAATTTAGAAACAAGTGATTTAAGAACTCAGAAGAATTCCTAAAAACACAGGGGAAATCTTCATTTTTCAATAGCTCTGGAGTTTCAGTGAGGGGAGAGTGAAGTCAAATTTAGTAAATTCAGATAAGAACTCATTGTGGCCCTTACCAGGAGGAGGAAGTGACACTTACCCACACTTGTATCAACTCTGGGATGGATAATAGAAGGGGAGGAGGATAGTGAGGCAGCAGGGCTGCCTTAGAAACTACAGTATGTACAAAATGCAGCTGCTTGCCTAAAGATATATAACATCCAAGTTGTCGCAAGCACTACATTGGTCACCAAATAAAATTCAAAGCACTATTACATATAAGGTTTGGTACCAGAGGACTCTGGTTTGAGTTGAATTGATTCATCTTGATTAGGAATGTTGAGGGTTCAGGAAATTATATTTTTATGGGGGGGAGGGGGGTTTCTCAATTCTTACAGAAAGGGTTGCAGAGATTTTTATGGCATCCTCAACTTTTAGAAAAACAGTGAAAACTGAACTGTTCTGGACAATGAGCTTGGTTGTTTGCTTTCAGATATTTTATTATTGATAATAAACACTAGTGATATTACCTAGTAATGAAATGTCTGCAAGCAAACAAGCAAGCCCAAGAGCACCAAGAATT